ATTATTAAAATGTACAAATAATAATATATGGAGGACCAAGAGTTATCCATTGGCATTATTAACTAATTTCTATTGGAAGAAGGAGGACGGCTGGACGCATCGCAACTGTACTTGCTTTTGATTGACAAAATAAAATAAAAACTTTTTATAGTCATTAAGTGACTTTTAATGATTAAAAAATTAATTTAGTTTTTTTTGTGTATGTAAAAACAAACTGTGTTTATTTTTTTTTCACATTAATAACTGGAAAAATCATTATAACTCTAGATTGTTAACAGATACTGCCTAGATTGTCAACAGTTCTCTTTGGGTTATTAATACTCACCATTGAGGTTGTAAATAGATCTTCACATTAAAATGCTGCTATAATCCTATTGGGTTTAGTTAAATTCTTAATGATATCAAAAGCTTCCCATTTTAGTGTTAAAGTTGTTGTATTATACTATTTGGTTATAATTTACGCTTATATGGAGGTTATATAATTCTATAAAGTAAGTTGTTAACGGATACTGCTTAGGTTGTTAATGCCCTCTCATTCGGTTGTTGTATAGTCGCTGTTGAGGTTGTAAATGGATCTTCGCATTAAAATATTACTATAATCCTATTGGATCTAGTTAAAATTCTTAATGATATCAAAAAGCTTCTCATTTTAGTATTAAAGTTGTTGTATTATACTATTTGGTTATAATTTACTCTTATGTAGAGGTTATATGATTCTATAAAGTAAGTTGTTAACGGATACTGATAGGGTTGTTAATGCCCTCTCATTGGGTTGTTAATAGTCATTGCTGAGGTTGTAAATCGCAATGACAGAGCAAATGTGAATCTGAAATATGAGGGGCAGTAATGTCATTTTACAAATTGAAAATATTACTCTGAGGTCCCTTGAGACCTGTCAGTGATTTTGACATTTCGTGGGACCTCAGAGTAATAATTATCTTTCTGTGGGACCTGTATGTAATTTTTTTTTTTTTTTTGCCGAAGAAATTCCATAACCAAATGAATGAAGACCACAAATTCCCCTAATTTCACTTTATATTCCCTATTATTAACACCATATTTTCTTAATTTTTTGGGAAAAGGTGCATATTTTTTAGAACCGAAAGTGTTGGCTTTCTCAGAAATATGCAACTTTTCTTTTTAAAAATTATGAAAATATGGTGTTAATTATGAAAGTTATTTCTTTTTGTGAAAAAGTTTTTTCCTCGAAAAAATGACATGTTTTCAAGAAAAATTGCGATTATGTAGTATTATGAGAAACTCGTCACTTTCTTTTTGATGTGTGGGGGATATGGTTTATAGAACCACGAAAAAAAAAAACGCAATATATTCTTATTATTATGCTATTTATCACTTTCTTTCCCATGTCATGCTTCTAATCCTATTATTTAAATATGATATTGACAAAAAATACAAGATATTTAAGAATGAATAAAAATGTAATTTTACCTCTAATTTTATTTCTCACATTTAATTTTATTTTTGACATTTTTAATAGTATAACTTTAGTCATAATTTTTTACATAATTTAGTCATTATTTCTTTTGATGTGATTTTTACTTGAGAAATAAAATTGTGCTTCTAAAAATATCAAATATAATTTTTTATCTTATTTATAAGTCACTTTTAACATTTCTTACATAAAGTAAAAAAAATCTTAAATTTTATTACCTCACTTTTAAAATTCAACAATTTTTTAAATTTATTCTTATTTCATATTGATTATATCTTGTATAGATAAAATTAAGGGGAAGTTGCAATTTAAGACTTTGGAATTATAAAAACGCAGATAGAGATCCTTAACAACTTCATTTTGAGTTATGACAACTTCAAGAGTCCCTATCTGCGTTTTTGCAATTCCAACATCCTAAATTGCAATTTGCCCTAAAATTAACATAATAAAAAATAAAAAATAAAATTATATATTTATATTAAAAAAATATTCCCACCGTACGCGATTTAAAAACTGGCTTCAGTCTCTGTCATACAAACAGTGGTTAGCCCAAACTGCTTGTGGTGGAAGAATGCTGATGCGACACATCACTACGTGTCATGACAAGAGAAACAAAATAATAGGTCAGAGTCAGATAGCTCTATTGAGCGTACGGGGACAGCCGACTTGCTGTCGGGTTTACGTAAGATGCTTTTTTTTGGGGATCAGGTTAAAAGATCTATATTAACCAATAAAAGGTTGTAAAAATCAAAATAGACCAACCCGCATGATCATGTGTCTGCTTCTATTTTTTAATATTTTTTTTGGACCGAATATCTCTGTCTTATATGAAATAAAGATGACATGGTGCTCTCTTGCAAATAAAAAAGCATAAAAATTTGGGTTTGATTTCACTTACAAACTTAAATTGTTAGTACATGTTCTTTTAATTTTTTTTAAAAAAAATATAATAACATAGAGATCAGCAAAGCCAACAAAAGAGAGAGGGTGGGATCAAGAATTATTAGTTTGAATAATAATGAACACAAAATTCTCTCTAATTATTGCTGTTCTCAAATTAAAATATGTGACCCTACTTAAATTTATACAAATTAAACTTGACGAGGAGTCAAAAGAAATTAGATAAATCAACATTTCAATTAGTTTAAACTGTTTCATCCTTTTATTTGCACCGACCATTTCCTTCAATATTTACTCTCGCTCTTCTCTATATATATTTCGCCGCTTTAATTTATTAATCTTGCTAATTCTTCTGCTTTCCTCTGTGCGTGTGTGTATATATATCCATGCTTTCTTTCTTCTGGCGTATACATGTACAATGACCTTGTGTGTATAGATGAGAAATTAAACTTATGGCCAAGGTTATTTGAATCCTTAGCCTTGGCATGTTTTGTTTTGTTTTTGTTTTATGTTTTTTTAGATGAAATGATGAATTATATCATATATTACATTATAAATAAGGTCTTATTTTTACGAGAGGAGTTAGTGTATTCGTGTGTGTATACAAAACAAGAGAAGTACATTTAGAGGTAAGCATAAACCGTGGCCTGTGTTTGATAACGTTATAAACGTGGAAGTCACGTCGCTTTGGGGGTCCATGAAAAAGAGCTAATCAACCAATAAAAGGCTGCAACAATAAAATAATATAATGCGTATAGACCCATCAGTTTGTTGATCATATAAAATCCACAAATTTATATGGCGTGTTCGGTAACAATCGAACCCAACAAGAGAGGTGGGGTGACCAAGCATTATTGGGTTGAATGACAATGGACCCAATCTCTATTCTGTGGTGTCAGATTAAAATAATATATGACCCTACTTAAATTTATATTAACATATGCTCATTCAGTTCTTAAAACTTATTTAACTAAATTAATTAGATTAAGTTAGTTATATATAAAGAATATAACATGTTTTTTTCTAAAATATTATAATCATCTTTCTTAATATTTTTTCTTCCTCTTCTATATGATTATGGTTGATAGAGTATTAATAGAGTTAACTTAAAAAAATTGATAAATATAAAAATAAATATTATATTTAGGACCAAGATTAATTTAATAATTAGGTCATATATTAAGGAAAGGAAGTAGTATATAGATACTGACTAGTTTAGTTTAGGGGGAAAAAACTTGGTCAAAGAGTCAACGAAAGTTAGATAAATCAACGTTAATTATAGCAATTCCTTGAAGTTACTCTTATTACTACTATGTAGTGTTCGGAGTCTCTTTTCTTCATTCTTCATCCTTTTTCCTCCTCTTCTTTTTCTAACTATTGGATTAACATACTTTAACAGTTTAGATTTTAATTTTTATAAACTATTCATAAAAAAATTTTAAAAAAAATATTTAGTGCATTTACAAACTATTAGAAGTAAATTTTAATAGAGTTTGTAATTTATTATTTATTTATTTTTTATAATTTCATATTTTAATAATAGTTTTAAAAAGATTTAAATTTCAACCGTTAAAATATTAATCCAATAGTTAGAAAAAGAAAGAAGAGAAAAAAGGATAAAAAGAAAAGAAGAGAGGTTTTTTACTGATCTCAATTAATGCGTCGTGTGCTTGGCCCAACTTGGTCAATAATGCTTTTATTGTAGTTATAATTTCTTCGTTATTTTATTAATGGATTGGAAGGGGAGTAATAGTGGGTTTATCTTGACAATATAAAAGAGTTAAGGGAAATTATCTGCATATAAGTTAAAATTTAAATGGGTTACCTGCACAAATAAATAAAATTCAAAGGAGATATATATGCATGACCAATAATATGTTATTTATTGTATGGTGAAATAATAAACTAATTAAGAAACAGGGGATATTTGCAAAAATTTTGAATTTAAGGGGTTTTTTAATCAAATATTAAGGATAAGAAGTTATTTAAACATAGCTCACATTTTAGAAAAATCTCATATAATTTAGTTATTGGAGTTTTTCCTTCGGACTTTCTAACCTAATGACACTAAGTACCTCTTAAGTACTCTCCTGATCCTTGGTATACAACCTAATTATTGAGTTGATCTTAGTTATAAATATGTAAATTTATTATATTTATCAATTTTTTTAAAATTATCCCTATTAATATTCTCTCAATCATAATCAAATAAGGAGGAAAGGAGGATAGTAAGATAATTATAGTATTTTTGCAAAAAACATGTCTTAATTTTAATAATTAATTAACTTATCTAACCTCTTTAATCCAATTAAATTAATTAAATAAGTCCTATACTAAAAATCAGGGGAGTATTTTGTAGGTGTGGTGCTGCGAGTTCAATCCTTTATGTGTATATGATAGGTATATATGTGAGTTTTCTTCTATTAGATGAATAATGACAAAAAAGTTATTAAAGTTTTTAACAAGTAGTTAATAATTTTACAGCCTAGCAGTATGAAAATTTTCCTGTAGGTAGAAAGCCGCATATTCCACCCTGTTTATAATTTTACGTCACGCTAATTTAAGTAAGAAAGGAAAAGGTTTTCTATATAAGACCCACACAAGCAAGCTTTGTTCTGCCATGAAAACCCGTAGTTGAAGCAGAAGAGGGATACAGAATGTCTTCTATTGCTGCTTCAACATTAGTTTCTGTTCCTCCTGCTTCAACAAAACACGCCAATGAGTCCCACATCGGAAGACGCTGTGCAGAATTTCATCCTTCTATTTGGACCGACCATTTCCTTCAATATGCCTCTCACTCTCACTCTTCTGTATATAAAATTTACTGCTTTAATTTATTCTTGCTAATTCTTCTGCTTTCCTCTTTATATCCATGCTTCCTTTCTTTCTGATGAGTACATATATAATGACGGTGCATGTGTGGGCAATTAATCTTACGGCCCAGATATTTGAATTCTTCAAATCATGTCACAGTATATCTTCTCTCAACATTTTATGATCAATTAATACTGAAGCTTTGAGCTTCTCTTATGTTAGCTCACTCTTACATCACTTACTTTTATGTTTTAACATCTTTTTTTTATTCTTTTGCTGTTTGAGCTTAGTAAATATTAATTTTTAAGATCCTCTAACGATGTTATTAAGTGCTCTTATAATTACTTTTTCCATTTTTTTCACATCTCGGCGCACGTTGATGGATTTTTTTCTTTGACACTGCCGGTACACAGAAAGTTAATCATAGTGAAACAGTGCAACACGTCGAAACTCTGAAAGAAGAAGTGAGGAAGATGCTGGTTCCTACCAATGAGAAGCCCTCAATTTCAAAAGTTGAATTGATCGATTCAATTCAACGCCTGGGTCTGAGATATCATTTTGAAAGTGAAATTGCAGAAGTGTTGCAACAAACTCACAAGCAATACGTTCAAAATGGCCACTTAATTCTTGACTCAGACCTATGCTTTCTTGCTTTGCTTTTCAGATTACTGAGGCAAGATGGATATCTCATTTCACCTGGTATGTGTGTATATATATATATATATATATATATATATATCTGCCTCAAGATTGAGTAGAAAATAAATGTCGAATGACTTAAATGATAAAATGTTTTAAAATCGTAACCATTTGTTGTGAATATTTGTGTGCAAAACAGATGTGTTTAGTAAGTTCACAGATGGAGAAGGAAAGTTTAGTGAAAGAGTTAGCAACGATGTGGAAGGAATGCTGAATTTATACGAAGCTGCTCATCTGAGTATTCATGGAGAAAAAATCTTAGATGAAGCAATGGCTTTCACTTCCACTCAACTTCATGCCATCACCAAGACTGTTGAACCAAACACATTTCTTGCTGAACAAGTTCATAATAGTTTAAGGCAATCTCTCCATAGGGGAATTCCAAGGTTAGAGGCTCGAAAGTATATTTCAATCTACCAATTACGTCCTTCTCACAGTGAAGCCTTGCTGACCTTCGCAAAATTAGATTTCAATGTCCTTCAAACTTTGCATCAGAAAGAAGTTGCAGAGATTTGCATGTAAGTCCTTGAACCTTAGAGTTTTTTTTCCCCCCCAAATTGCAAGGATATCGATACGAGTGGACCTAAGCTGACGGGACAAGTCTTCCAAGCAGAACTGAGCTTAATAAATTGAAACCACCCATATATTATAACTTATGGAATTGTCTCTTTGCGCTTGAGCCCATGACGCACCATGCTTCTTTCACGCTGCGAGAGGAAACTGAGAGCTTAGAGTAGCTAGTGACAACGATAGATCTAAACCTTTTAGGTTAACTTAATTAATTTCTGGCTATGTATATAGCTAATGGGTTTTGGGGGGTTTATATGGATCAGGTGGTGGAACAGCTTGGATGTTGCCAGAAATCTATCATATGCAAGAGATAGAATTGTGGAATGTTACTTTTGGATTCTTGCAGTTTATTTTGAGCCTCAATACTCTTTAGGCAGATTGATACTCACCAAGATGATGGCCGTTTTGTCCCTGATTGATGATACTTATGATGCTTATGGAACCATTGATGAGCTGACCATTTTCACTGATGCACTTGAGAGGTATATATAGTACATATATTTGGTTCTAATGTATTGTTTTTTAATTAAATCAAAGTATTAACCGATCAATGATTGTATAAGGTGGGATATTTGCTGCTTGGATGATCTCCCAGACTACATGAAGTTACCTTACGAGGCACTGTGGAATGTTTATGATGAAATGGATCAGTACATGAGGAAGGAAGGAAGAGAATACAGCATTAGTTACGCAATATCTGAAGTATGACCAAATGAACCAAGTCACAGTTTAAGGACTTAGTTATAATCAAGTCAAAAATCAAAATACTAATTTTTGCAATAAACAATTTGGAAAATTAAAGCTCTTAGTTATATACAATTACGCAACATCTGATGATGTAAGTTGATGGCAGGTGAAGAAGGTGGCGAGAGCCTTCATGAGAGAGGCCAAATGGTTAAATGAAAACTACATGCCAACAACAGAACAGTACCTTGAGACAGCAATGATAAGTTGTTGTTATTCATTGCTCTCAACAGTATCTTTCTTTGGGTTGCGACATCTTGCCACTGAGGACATGTTCAAATGGGTTACAAGTCAGCCTAAGCTTGTCAAAGTTTCTTCCCTTATTTGCAGAGCCATGGACGACATCGTCTCTAGTGAGGTACTTAATTATATGACATATACATAATTAAAATGAAGATCCTTTAATTTGGTGATTTTGAAACCTTTTAATTTGTGTGCGTACAGTTTGAGCAGAAAAGAGGGCACGTTGTGTCGGTTCTTGATTGCTATATGAAGGAACATGGTGTGAGAAGGCAAGAAGCCATTGAAGAGTTTCGTAGGGTTGTTAGTAATGCGTGGAAGGATATGAATGAAGAACTCCTTAGACCTTTGGAAGTGGACAGGCCTTTTCTAATGCCACCTCTGAACTTAGCTCGTGTTATGGACGTGCTTTACAAAGAAGAAGATAATTACACTCATGCCAAAGGCATCATGAAGAATTCCATTACAGCTTTGTTGGTGGATCCTGTGCCTGTATGAGCATCGACCTCATTTTTCTCATATATTTATATTATTTCCAGTCTTTAATATAATATCTAGTTAAGTTAGGCCTTATACTAAAGACCGGAAGTAGTAGTTTATAGTCTCCTTACTCCTTATACATACTGTCGGAGTAGTATTAGATGTTGGTTAATAAAAAATTGGGATAGCTACTATCCTAAGTTTATATAAAGGATTATGGCTTAAGAGTAATATAAAGAGGCTGGATCCTTACCTAGAGAAAGGTTCCCTTCTCATATTTCCATGTTGGTGTTAGTGCACCTTTTAAACATGGGTTTAATTGTTTCTATGTTCGTCACTTTTAGAGGGTTGATTGTTATTTGTATTGCTTGATCTCAGCATTTTATTAATGAAAAAAAAATGTTCTTTTTTCCTCTTATCTCGTGATTAACACACATGACCCAATATGAAGGATAATGAATAAAATTAATCTGTACTCCCTGCCATTTTAATCTGTATAAGAGCTATTTAATTGATTTGGATAGATTAAGAAATTCACATAAATTAGTTAATGAGAACAAATTATTTACATGTAATATTATATTATGTATTAATTTATAAGTTAGTAAATTAGTTGAGAGAAAAATGATAAATATGAAAGATAAAGTAAATTGATATTCTATATTTAACACCAATTCAACTTCTAGCTAACCCATATATTTGATACTTTTGGATTTTTTTTCCTCCAAATCTTCTTGCGATCTTGATGCCCTACTTTAATTTCTAATACTGGCATGTGATTAATATTTGAGCTTTACCCTTTCTTATTGTAAGAAAAGAAAAAACACAGAAGGAGAAAATTAAAAGAAGATCACGACGAAGAATTAAACTTGACGGCACTGACATTTTCTATGGGCAACAAAATCTGAGAAAAGCTAATGAAATATTAAAAAAAATCACTGCCACTTATTAATTCATGTTAATAGCTTCTACACTTCAGGCAAGTAATTGTCGGTTTCAGTCATTCGATCTTAACTTCAATTAGTTATGTTAACTTAACCCCTTAGTTTGACTAACTTAACCAGGCTTCAATTATTCTTAATAATTGTGCAATTCAATTTAAAAGGATGAAAATGACAGTAAATGAGTGTGTGAAGTTTAAGTGCCTTTTCGCATCATTGTGATATCCTACCTCCGGTTCTAATTATAAGAGCTAATTGACTAATTTGAGGAGATTAAAGAAGTAAGTTGAATTAGTTATTTGTCCTAAATAGGTGTTGTCTTTCCTAAAATATCCTTACTAATCAAGTATATCAACTAGAACTATAATTATTAGAAGAATTATCTTAGAAAATTGAATAAATATGAGAGACAAAGTGGATTGGGCTCTTATATTTAGGACCAAAATAAAAGTCAAACAGGGTCTTATATTAAGGCCCGGAGGTAGTACTATCCAAATCATCGTCCCAACCTAATTTATATGATTTAAATTTGAAAATTTTAATTAGTTAACTTTTTTCAGAGAATAAAATGTTACATTTTTATAAGAGATTGTTAAGAAAATAATATTTATTTGTTTTGAATTTTATAATTATTAAAATGTACAAATAATAATATATGGAGGACCAAGAGTTATCCATTGGCATTATTAACTAATTTCTATTGGAAGAAGGAGGACGGCTGGACGCATCGCAACTATACTTGCTTTTTTTTTTTTTGATGAGTAAAAAAAACCACATGAGCCTATCACGTCAGATGATAGCTGTCCCTCCTCACAATATCAACGATAAAAGCAGGAGGTTGAGAGAAATAAAAGAAGCCGTTAACACTTTTCAAACCCTCCTTAGCGATAGCGTCTGCGACCTCATTCCCTTCACGACAGCACCATGCGAGGTTGGCATCCCACTCTCTGTTCATTAGACTCAAATCTCCTGCATGATGACATCTTCCGCTTCCCCAGTCACGCCACAGTTATGTACTCGCTCCACTAACTCCAAGCAATCCGTTTCTAGCACGATACGACGATACCCACGATCCCATGCAACCTTCAGCCCCCATAATACACCACTCAACTCAGCCATGTAGCTGCTACCTGCATCTAATTTATACAGGAACCCACCCAGCACATCCCCTTTACAGTCTCGTATCACTCCTCCACAGGCTGCAGAAGCCCCTCGGGGAGACGCGGCACCGTCAACGTTCACCTTCACCACGCCAGAAGGTGGTGGCACCCAACAATTCATGGCCTCCATCCTTGCATTTGTTGGTATTAAAGGCTTGGATCCCCATCTGACCAAAGCTTGCACCTTTGCAATAACGCAGCGAGGAGCCTCCAGCGCATTTTCAAAGACCCTCTTATTTCTTACCAGCCAGATTTGCCTACACACAATCCCAAACACCACGTTCCAACAGGACCCTTGCACCTCGAACCTTTGAGTCAAGTTCCAGCGAACCCACCCCTTCACATCTGTAAAGGAATAGAAACTCATAGAATAATTACTGGGTAGCATCTGCAGCCAAACTTCCGATGCCTCATTACAGTCCCGAATTACATGTAGTGTAGTTTCCAATGTACTGCTGCATATTGGACAAAGTAATGAAGAGGACATTCCCCTTCGATGGCGTTCAACGTTCGTCAAGATTTTGTCTTGAGTCATTAACCATAAGAATGACCTGCATCTCTGGGGTACTTGTAGCCTCCAAATCTTCTTCCATAACCACTTTAACGAGGAGTCACCACGTTTACGAATACAATCGTACGCAGACCTTGTCGTAAACTCCCCAGAAGACGACCATTTCCATGAAGGTATATCAGACGTGGCAGTATCAATAGGTAGAGACATGATTGTCGACACCACATGCTCTGGTAAAAACCTCAATAGACGATCCATAACCCAACGACCACTTCCGTCTGAAAAGTCAGACACAGTAACTTCCAACATACTCTCGGACATTGGCACTTTAGCAACCGAACATAGTTGATCAAAACCTGGACACCAGTTATCTCGCCAAAACTTTATACTCTTACCATCACGCAATGACCACTTCAGACCTGAAGAAACAGATTCCCAACAGCGCTTTATCCCTCGCCAAGCACATGACCCTGGCTTCCTGGAAACAAACTTGGGAAGGATATCTCCCCCACATCCATACTTCTCTCTCATGAATTTAACCCATAGAGAATCTCTCTTCTTATGTCTTTCACATCCCCCATCCCAGTTTCATCATATACGCATCGTTCTGCTCCTTTGCACTTCTTATGCCTAGACCTCCCTCCTCTTTCTTTAAGCAAACCTTGTCCCATGCTAATAAATGCACTTTTCTATCTGCTGTAACACCACCCCATAGGAACTTCCTGCACCTTTTGTCTATATCACCACAAATCGATTGTGGAAGAGGAGCCGACTGCATGGCATACGCTGGGATGGAGGTCATAACTGAAGAAACTAGCGTTGACCGAGCTGCAAACGAAAGGGACTTTGACTTCCAGGTGCTTAGTCTGGTGTCCATTTTGTCCAAAATATATTGGTACGTGGATTTGGCAACTCTTTTATGATGAATAGGGACGCCTAAATATTTACCCAGATCCGCCGATCGTGTAAACCCCAAGAAACCGCTAATTTCAGCAGCTCTGTTATGGTTTACGTTAGTGGAGAAGAAAATTCGAGATTTGAGATTATTAACCTTCTCTCCGGATGCAACACAAAAATCATCCAAACAGGCTTTAATAAGCCCTGCTTGTTCTAGTGAAGCCTCTGCAAATAGGAACAGATCATCAGCAAAAAATAAGTGCGATACTGGTGTGCCATGCTTACGTAAGCGGAACGGCATCCAACTCTCATTTTCCACTTCAGTTTGAATCAAATGGGCTAGTTTCTCCATCACCAAGACAAACAAAAAAGGGGAAAGGGGGTCACCCTGTCGTAGCCCTCTAGACGGACTAAAACTGGTCCCATGTCTCCCATTCCAAAGAAGCTTCATGTCAGCAGTAGTTAAACAGGCCTCAATAATATTTCTTACCGTTTGTGGAATCCCAATCTCCATTAAACACTTGGAAACAAAAGCCCATTTCACACGATCATATGCTTTTTCTAAATCTATTTTGATAGCCATGAACCCTTTCTTCCCTTTTTTATTCTTCATTGAGTGAAAGATTTCTTGGGCTAGTACAATATTATCCACCCCCTGTCTCCCCGGAACAAAACTGCACTGGTTTGGAGAAATTATTTGGGGCATAATAGCTCTAAACCGGTTAGCTATAACCTTTGTCAAGGTTTTGTAGATCACATTGCACAAACTAATTGGACGAAAATCCCAAATTGTTTCTGGGTGTTCAACTTTTGGGATTAGAATAATGTTCGTACCATTCACGCTCCTAATTTCTGAAGTCTGAGTTGACATTTTACGCACCATATCTGTGACCATATTTCCAACAATATTCCACTGGCTTTGGAAAAACAAAGGATTTAAGCCATCAGGTCCCGGAGCCTTCAGAGGTCCCATAGCAAACAAAGCTTGTTTCACTTCAAAACCACTAATATTGCTCGCAAGGTTTTGTAATATTTCCTCATCAACCTTAGGGAACGTCCTACCAAAGTTGATATCCACACAATCGTGGCCATCCTCAGTATACAAGCTTTTAAAGAAAGTTGTACCTGTTTGCATAATTTCCTCAAAATCATACGTCCATTCTCCGTCTTCCTTCTTTATGGCTTCAATGTAATTTCTCCGACGCCTGGTATTTGTCATCGCATGAAAATAACGAGTGTTACGATCCCCATCTGTGTACCATGAACATCTAGAACGTTGCAACCACATCACCTCCTCCTGCACAAGTAGTTGCTCAAATTCATCCCAAACTCTTTGTCTCTCGATTTCAAGCCATGACGCTGCATTCTTGGAAAGTTTCTTGTCCAGTTCCTCCATTCTTCTAAGCAAAACACTTTTTCTCTTATTTATGTCTCCAAAAACTTCCTTATTCCACTGGGACACGTTCTTTGTAAATGAGCAAACATTCTCATTCCACCCACGTGAGGTCACCCAGGAGTTTCGAACACACTCTGAGAAATCATCATG